ATACATAATAAATAAATAAATGAATTAATATTAATACATGTATATATGTATGTTGTAGAAAAAATTAGTTATTAATTACCAATTTTCTTTGCTAGTTCTTTCTTTTTTGTTTTAAAAATTTCAGACAATTTCTCATCAAACCTTTCCATTTTCTCATCTTCGGCATCTAACAATCGTAAATGTGATAAACATCATCATTAGTTTTGGTGTGACAAAATAATTTTTCCTCCACCACACGCACCATTTCCTTGTAGTGGAAAAAACTTTTTTGTGCGAGAATGATGCTTTTAAACCAATTAAAAAAATATTATTTGTTTTTTATTTATTTTATATAATAATAAAAATTTAAAATGATAAAAATGATAGAAATTGCATTTTTCATATGAATATGTTTAAAAATTGTAACCTTGATAACAAAACTTTTTAATTTGTATGATTTATTTATTAATAAATATTTCATTTCATGTCATGCATTAAATATGAAATAGAAAAAAACACATGCAAATTTAGTTAATAGTATTTTTGATGATTTATTGGGTGGTAAAGCTACTGTTTTTGGTTCTAACTCATTGTCATCAATGATGTGGATAATCTTCTTTGCTACTATATTTATCGATTAATTAGATAATTGGCTAAAATTATAGTTCCTTATAAAAATGTAAAATGAAGTTGATTGGTCAAATCACAGGAATTATAAAATTACAATTTATTATTAATATTATTTATTATTATATATTAAAATTAGTTGATTAGTTGATTAAAAAAAAATTATTTATATCTACAAAATAAATAAGAATAAAGTTTCCTTTATTACCGCTAATACACTAACATACAAACTAGCCTATTATTTATTACTATACTTATATATATGCTACTGTATTGCTACAATTATTAATAAATTTACATGTTTATATATATATATATATATATATATATATATATAGGGAAAGAAAATTAAATGTCCAAAAAAAATTTCTCTAAACAATGTTCATTAAAACCAATTATTTTTATTATTGATTAAAAA